CATACAGAGAAAGCAGAGAGAATGAGGTTTCTGCATTGATGGCAGTTTTAAAGACGTGTTGCACACGGCGCAGAGATTGCAGTGATTCTTCTTCCCTTTCTAGTAGATACTTGCCCTCAGCACAGTTTCAAGCAATTAATAACGGCTATTGTTTTATCAGTCGTCCAACTGCAGTGATATTTAGTGCTTTTACGCCTTTATGATGGGACACTGTGTTTGCTAAAACAACAAGTGGTTTGTGGTTAGCAGTAACAAGATGTTTTTCTCACAAAACTTGACTGAATTATTCTTTTTTTGCTCATTTTAAACAACTTTCTTCCACATTTGCCAAGTGTTCGTTTAGCTTTTTTTCTCTAAACTATGAAAAAAACTGTACAGACAAAAGCTTTTTTAAAACTGTAATTGTTATTTCAACTTTGATCCAATTAAGTCATTCAGAGTAGGAAATTTGATGTTATTATGATAGTCAAGTGTTATTTCTTATCAAAACACTCATGCATCTTTTTAGAGATGTCATTTAAAAATCTGTTTTGTAATGATTCTGACGTGCTGAGCTAAGCGCTACGATGTTCGCCATTATAGAAGCTCCAGATCATCAGTGTTCACCTTGAAGACGTTTGTTTTTGAATGATAACGACGAGTGAAAACAAGACACTTCTACAATGACAACATTTCCATTGTCCCTGTGAGTGATTCGTGTGTTTCTCCCCCCGTACCACCTCGTAGAATATTCAGAATAATGTGTTTTTTTCTAGAAGAGTAGTAGAGAGTCCATTGACAATGAACCTGAATTGCTCTGCCATGTTATTGTAGAAATCAGCATGTCGGCCCATCCTCTTACTGGTTGTTACTAACAAACCTCAGCTGATGATGTTCTCGTTGTAATGGTAAGAATGGCGAGGCAGGGGTATAAAGGTAAAGGTGCCGTTTCTCTGCAGTGGCGAGTGATTAAATGAAAAGTTTGAAATGTCACTTACACTCACTGACTGCACTTTACCTCACAAGTTATTCTGCTCAGGCGGAGAAAGATTTGTTTAAGATTCGTAAATACAACGTTGCCACTAACAGAGTGAACTATTTGCAAAGCATTTCTTTTGGTAAATAGTTCCCAGCTGCCACATATCCAGTTCTTTCCGACTTTGTTAGCGCTTACTATTGATTTGTGGAAGAACAATTGTGGCTGAATCAACAAACAATGTTCAGAACTGTTGACAAACCCTGTCCAACCACGGTGTGTAAGCTGCCGTATCCCTGCCTACCTTTCTTGTTGTCACCGAGTATGTTTTATTGTCATAAGAAACATTTATATTTGTAACATTTTAAGTTTATTTGTATCCTTAGAAACATGAAAAAGCAAAATGGTTATGCACACTGTCCTTCCATAAACTATGTAATGGAATATGATACTAAATAATAACCACTTTGTTATATAAACAAATTTCTGTGAGCTTCTTTGTCTCTTCTTCTTTTGCCAGTCGTGTTTTTTGTATTCGCACGTCACAAGTGTTTCTTGATCAAGTCTTCACCTTTTGTCTTGCTTTTGTGTACTTGGGTCTAAAATTACATCTTCAGTTCGTTTTATAGCACGGCAGAAGATACCTGCTCCTCTGACTTATGGACAGAGCTTACAGAGAGCTCGAGGTTTTAGTACATGATAAATGAGACAGCTCCTACCTATAAAAGCAACATATTTGGACCTTGGTGTCCTCGCTGCTTTATCTTGCACAGTGTCAAAGGCAAAGTGATAATGCTGTCATGTCTAATGGCAGCTTAGGGAAATTACTAGCGTCTGAAAACACATTTCAAGGAATGTTTCTCATTTTAATCATTTTGCAGACGTTTCTCTCTACTGTGACTTCAGCTTATCTCCACCTGTGTTAGACAACGGGGAAAATCAGGGCAGCAAACCAATCATTTGTTTATTATTTGATACTAAAGAATTTTAATTTGTAAGCCGGGGAAACATTTATTCTGGAATTTCTCTTTTATAGGCAGTCAAAAAAAAAAAAAGCAGTTTAAATCTGTGTTAGGCAGCTTGAGTTTAAAGTTAATAAGAGTTTTTTTTTTTAGAGCAGCAATTTCTGAAAAAAATGAACTCTCCATGATGTGTTCCCATGCGATCAGCTTGTGTCAGTCTATACGAGTCTCACTAGCGAGCGTCAAATTGCAGGGCAGGGCTGCTCCTGTCCTAACCATTTGCTTTACAGCCCACCGACCACCACCAAGTCTGCTCACAAGTAACGGCGTGTTCTCCCTGCATGTGCCATGTCCCACATCCCAGCTGCAGCGCGACATCATAAAATAAGGGCTGACATCTGTAAGTATACCTCGGGTCACAAGGAGCTCTCTCCCGCTCCTCGTGTGCACTCGCACACAGAAATACGCGACGCTTCTCTCGACGCGTCTTGGGACTGATCTTCTCCGAGCCTCTTCTCCTCCCAGTGTGCAGCCAGACAGATGGAGATTCATCTCTCAACAAGCTGTGATCTGTGTTTAGAGATGTGTGCTGCAGAACACAACTCTAATTAGGTTTATTGTTGATCTAGGGAGGTTAATTTGTACTTGGCTGCAAGTGCTAAAGAAGGCCAACCTAGTTCCTTACGAGGCACCAGCACTGCAACCATACGAAGCTTTTTTATCTTCTTGACTTTCGAGGTGATTCAGAATTATTACAGCCCCTTGCTATATTTGTCTAGTTCGGTATAATTGCGCTTTGCACCGGGCTGAGAGATCTGTCATGGCCGGGGCGGTAGAACTGGAAATGAGATACTAGAAGTGTGTTTGTCTAATGAGCTTAGGGGTACAGTTGTGTGGCTGTGGCAGGTATTACTTATTTTTTATCCTGTTTTCTTTTTTCTTTTCTTTTTTTACAACCTCCAGGTAAGTAGCCTTGTCAAACGCTGAGAGATGAGCCTGGCCCACACAAGTTTTATTTTTCTTCACGCTATTCACAGTCGTGTTTCTAATGCACTCTGTGACAGATCAGTTGTCAGCGGGAATACAACATAATTATGTTTCATTTTGCATTTCCGACTAATGGAATACGCAAACATTATGGAGATGAGACAAAGCAGGCAGTAACGATTCCCTCCTTACCTGAGCTAATTCTGTCTGAGGAGAAATCTTATTCAAGCAGCACTTTGCGCTTAACCGTGGCACTTTGATAAAATGCATGCATGTCCAGGGTGCATGGGTGTCTAAATAAATTTGCCTGTAAAAGAATTCACTTGTCTAATGTTCTGCAGGTGTGTGCCATTTGTGAAAGGAACAACTCTACCTATAGGCCTGTTTGGTACTTTGCAGCTTGAGCAGCATTGCACATTTGTCTTGGTGTATTTGCCATTAACAGCTCAGTGTCATGAGCATGTGAGACTTACAGTTAATGTGACCGTCACAGTAGTGCTGCACCGAAAAATGCATTTTAAGAAAAGACAGCAGCATTCTTGTAATGACAGTTTATGTTATGGTGCCTGTTTTCTTTTAACTCAACAGGATGGAAGTCATCAGCTTTGCACTGTTTAGAAGCTAAACTTAAATATGATGCCAATGGTACTTTACCCGCTGTTCTGCTACGTGAGCATAGACTGCACATTGATATGTAAACTACTTGAATCAAAGGGCAGTAGCTAGCAGGAGCGCTACTGCAAACTAAAGTTTTGATTAACAAAGTGTAAAGGTTTTTGACAGTAACTGGGATGCTGGTGAACAACGGGATAAAAAGTCTTACTTATGGAGAGAACTGAACAGCTGTCTCCTCCCAGTGTCTTTGAATACAACCAAATACTAAACCAGCTGCAATGGAGGTGGAGTTGACTAAGAAATGTGTGCACTGTATGCTCACAGTGCCCTGGATTTTGTTTTTATTTCACTTTAAATGGGAACATAAGTTTTTCAAATTAAAATAATTTGATGCTGAATAAGAGTGAAAAGCAGAGACTGGGACCAAAAACCATTCAGGAGAATGTTTACAAAGTT